TAATATGGCACACAATGGATTCAGCAATGTCCTCCCCCAAAGACCACTTTTGACAGAAGCATAAGGTTTCCTTCACTTATCTTTAATGACTTTTTTTTTCTTTCTTGGAGAAGCTGAATTTATTGTACCACAAATGTTTTGTTCACATTTTACAAATGTTTTCCTAATCTGTTTCATTTGGAAATAGGAGTATTTTGTTATTATTGGTGGTGTTGTTGTTCAATCATGTCTGACTCTTTGTGACCTCATTTGGAGTTTTTCTGACCAAGATATTAGAATGCTTTGCCTTTTCCTTCCTCAGCTCATTTTACAGGTGAGGAAATTGAGGCAAACGGGGTTAAATGACTTGCCCAGGGTCATGCAGCTAGTAAGTTTCTGAGGCTGGATTTGAACTCAGGTCTTCTTGACTCCAGGCCCAGCACTCTATCCACTGTGCCACCTAGCTGCCAAGTATATTTTAGAGCCTAGAAAATATTTTCCCCAAACATTTCTTTTTAAAATTTTATTTAGTATTTTATTTTTTCCAGTTAAATGCAAAAACAATTTTTAACATTCATTTTTAAAACTTTGAGTTCCAAATTCTCTCCTTTACTCTCTCCCCATCCCCCCCATTGAGAAAGCAAGCAATTTGATATAGGTTATACATATGTAGTTATGCAAAACATTTCCATATTAATTATGTTGTGAAAGAAAACATAGACTAAAAAAAAACCTCAAGAAAAATAAAGTTTAAAAAAAAGTATATTTCAATCTGTATTTAGACACCATCAGTTCTTTCTCTGGGAATCAATAGCATTTTTCATCATGAGTGCTTCAGAGTTGTCTTGGATGATTGTATTGCTTAGAACAGCTAAATAATTCATAGCTGATCATTGTTGTTACTTTGTACCTGGTACATTTCACTTTACATTAGCTCATATAAGTCTTTCCAGGTTTTTCTGAGAGCATCCTACTCATCATCCTACTCTTTTTTTTTTTTTTTGGCTACGTGATTAAGGTGAAGTGACTTACCCAGGGTCACATGGCTAGTAAGTATCAAGTGTCTGAGGTCAAATTTGACTCAGGTCCTCCTGACTCTCGGGCTGGTGCTCTATTCACTGTTCCACCTATCTGCTTCTGTTATTAATTTTAAAATTGATATTTACATGGGAATGTGTTAGGAAAGAAAGCAAAGTAGCTGGAAGCTGTTAGAAAAGATGCTGGATGAATTTAATAGGTACAAAAGATGGATTGCTGGGAAAGGTGGAAATGACAATTTTAGGAAGGAAAATTACAAAACCTTCTTGCTTCAGCCTCCCTTTTGTGCAAGATCTGAATTTAATCAAGGGCAAGAGGCCCCTTGAAAAATAAAGTTCTGCAGCTAGGTGGTGCAGTGGATAGAGCACTGGTCCTGGAATCAGGACCTGGATTCAAATGTAGCCTTAGACGCTTATTAGCTGTGTAACCCTGGGCAAATCACTTAACCCTAATTGCCTCAAAAAAAAAAAAGAAAGAAAGAAAGAAAAGAAAAGAAAAACAGAGTTCTGGTACATGAATTGGCCATTTCAAAAAAAAGAAGCATTCATGAACTTTACCTGGGGTGAAATACACCTGATAGCATCTTGTGCCATCCCAGGTAAATCTGCGACTTTCAGACCAGACAAAACAGTTCTGGAATTGTTTTAACTATATCCCTGGGCAGCTAGGTGACATAGTGGATAGAGTACTAAACATGGAGTCAGGAAAACTCATCTTTGTGAGTTAAAATCTGGTCTCAGACTTTTATTTACTAGCTGTGTGGCCCTGGGCAAGTCACTTAGCCCTGTTGGCTTCAGTTCTTCATCTGTAAAGAGAAGAAAATGTCAAAGCACTCCAGTACATTTGCCAAGAAAGCCCCAAATGAGGTCACAAAGAGTCAGACATGACTGAAAAATGACTAAACAAAAAGATAGATAGATAGATAGATATAGATAGATAAATAGATGGGTAGATAGATAGATCCATCCCTCTTACTCCTTTCACAGAAAATTCCTCTAATCATGGCAATAGAGACTCAAATCTCTTAATGATGATTCAATATCATTATCCTAAGACTTCCTGAATCCATAGTGAGGGAGGTACAGAGGCATATGCCTATATGCTACTGTTAGGACTCTGCCACCCCTTCCTAAGGAACTGAAACCCATTAGAGCCATTTATTGAAAGGGTACACTCTGACAAACAAATGATTCTACAGAAGTATTTATTTATGTAAAGACAGATTATTGCCATGGTATTCACCATGATGAACATCCCCTTAATTTCCAATTCTTTGCTACCACAAAAAGAGCTGCTATAAATATTTTTGTACATATTGGTCCTTTCCCTTTCTCTTTAACCTCTTTGGAATACAGACCTAGTAGTGGTATTGCTGAGTCAAAGGGTATGCATAGTTTTATAGCCTTTTGGGTGTTGTTCCTAATTGTTCTCCAGAATGATTGGACCTACCAATACTGTACTCTACCAGAAGTTCATTAGTGTACCTATTTTCCCCCTCATCCCCTCCAGCATTTGTAATTTCTGATAGGTGTTAGGTGGTACCTTAGAGTTGTTTTATTTGCATTTCTCTCTACTCAATAGTGATTTAGGGCATTTTTCATGTGATTGTAGATAACTTTGATTTCTTCTTCTGAAAACTTCTTGTTTATATCCTTTGACCATTTATTAATTGGGGAATAGCTTTTATTTTTTATAAATTTGACTGAGTTCTATACTCAATTTATATTTGAAAAATAAAGCTTTTATCATAGAAACTTGTTGTAAAAATGTTGATATTACTTCATTGTTTATGTTACCTTTTAGCATAATGTAGTTTTTAATTGAGTCTATTTTTGTTTTTGCTCTGAGTTCATGATTGCTACCCCTGCCTTTTTTACTTCAGCTGAAGCATAATAGATTTTGTTCCAACCCTTAATTTTAACTCTGTGTATGTCTTTCTGTTTCAAGTGTGTCTCCTGTTAAACAACATATTGCTGGATTCTGGTATTTAATCCAATCTGCTATCCATTCCTCTTTCCAGACATAAGAGTAAAAATAATAAAAAGGATAACATCTTTTAAAAAAATGAATCAATGAATAAACAAATTCGTTAGGAGAATATCAGATATACCTAGTGGGCAGCTGGGTGGCTCAGTGGATAGAGTGCTGGGCTTGGAGTCAGGAATACTCATCTTCTTGAGTTTGAATTTGGCCTCAGACACTTAGTAGCTGTGTGATCCTGGGCAAGTCACTTAACCCTGTTTACCTCAGTTTTCTCATCTGTAAAATGAGCTGGAGAAACTACTCCAGTATCTTTGCCAAGAAAACCCCAAATGGGGTCACAAAGAGTCAGACAGGACTGAAACTACTGAACAACAGCAATTGTCCTTAGCAGTTCCAGAAGTGTGGAAAGAGCAACAGTGACCTGGGGCCTTGGAATCTCTGCCTAGTGACTAACAACTGAAAATTTGCTCAGCCTGTATTTTCAAACCTGGCTTATCTTTCTCTAAGGTTCCCTTCCACCCCATACACACATACACATTTGTTTTCCCCCAAAAAAATCATTTTAATTTAGAGGCAGTATGGTATGTTGGCTAGTGTTAAAGTTGGAGGCAGGAAGACCAGGTTGAGATCCTGCTTCTGATATTTACTAGCTGTGTGATGCTGGACCAATCATTTAAAATCTTTTAAACTCATTTTCCTTATCTTTCAAGTGGGGATATTTATACCGAGATGATGCATGCTAAGTGCCTTGTAAACCTCATGGAGACAAATGTCAATTGTTATTCCTGGGAAGAGAGAGAGAAATGGGCTATTTCTGCTGATCACATCAACCCTGACATATTAAGTATTTCTTGAAGTGACCAAAGTGGAAAGGAAGGCTTTGATTTTGTGGCTAATTGACCTGAGACGTGTTTTCTCCTTATGCAGGTATGACAGACATAAGCTGACACTGAAGGACATTCACAACTGTCAGTATGTAGCCTGTATGAATCCCACTTCTGGCTCCTTCACCATTGACTCCAGACTTCAGGTAGACAGGGAGAAACAACAAATGATTTCTGCATTAATAACGTGTCTGTGTCTGTGTGTATTGTGTGTGTAGGATAGCACGTGGGGCGTTTGATTCCAATTCCCTTTCTGTGAGGAAAAGAGGTCTGTTTTGTTCCCAAGTTAAAGGGCACAAAACGTATTGTCAAATTCTTAAGGAGAGAGGGGAGCAGAAACGAAAATGGGGAAGAGTGCAGTTGAACAAGCAGGACATGGAGTAGCTCACCTGAGGTACAGCCACTAGAGGGAGAAAGTGTGTTATTTGGTAGCTTTCAATTTTTTAACTAGTTATTAATACTAACCAATTGCTAAACTCAATTGTTTCTCTGCTGCTGTTTTTATGGAAATTTTAGACTCCTCAAATTTTTGGTGCATTTGCTCTGATTACTCTGCTGTGGTTCTGGTTTTATTTGGAAGGTTAGGTCCACATAACTGAGGAATTTATCATGGGGAAAGGAATGGTAAGAGACTACCTCATCTCTAGGCAGAACCATCAGATGTATGCTTCTTTACGTGCCTAATCATACCTGTTGCTAATCAGAAAAGAAAGAGAAAGAAATGAAATTTCATGAAATGAAATTAATAGGCCATTTCAGTGTCTCACACTGAAAAGTGAATTCCTTGTTGTTGTGTGTCTAACTTTTTTGTAGTGTAGCTTAAGCCTGTGTCCTCTTATTCAGTCTTTGAGAGAAAATTCACTATAATTTTCCAGACAATGCTCCAACTCACCTAGGCTAACCAGTTAACTAGCTTACTTTCTTTTTTTTCCAGCTTTTTTCCAAATAAGGATAGAGATAGAAAACCCAGCCTAGACACTGTGACCCTAGCTAGACAGGCTTTTTATACAAGCTGCCAGTGGAGAGACTCACCCAAGAGTGGGTAGACCCAGAGAAGGGAAGAAGTGCTGTGGAAGGAGACTGAGCAGAGGAGGACAGGCACAAACACTAAGAAAGTGCTATAGATGCCCTTTAATTTTCGCCCCAATGGGACCATTCCAGTTAACACCTTTTCCCAGTATCACATAGGAGAGGTCACCCACTCCCCATCTCGAGTCTTCCAGTTGGTTAGGGATCCTCAGAGAATTCCTTGTCGGTCCCTCTCGTGAAGGTGCTGGATCCTTCCTCGGTTAGGAAATCCCCCCACTCTGACCAAATCCAGGTGAAGATGGGCAGTAGAGAGGCTGCTTGCTTTCTGGAGAATTTGGTCTTCAGCACTCCCTGTAATCAGAAAAGATAGGTTTAAGGACATCTGTGAACTTTTTGTTTTGTTTTGTTTTGCCTTGATATAGAGACACTTTTGTGTGTTTGCTGTGAGTTTCCCTGGACAAGATGCTCTGATGGCAATTTATAGCACAATCTTGGCACAGCATTTATCCTATCGATCTGTCCCCATCATGGTTCAGAAAATTAGTGTCCAGTTGGTCACCTCAGCACTTGGTAAGTTGAAACTATCCACATCCACTTTAGTATTTATAAAAGCTACTATTTTATGGAGGCTGATGGCTTCTTCATCTTTTCCCCTAGTAAATATTTTATTTATATATTTAAATCAATATGTTTAAAGGATGCTATGTTTCAACAGGAGATATTATGAAATCCAATTGCTTCAGTGGGAGGGTAGAGTATAGGAAATTCAGTATATGGAAGTGATTTACATGTCAACAGAGAAGCAAACTTCCTCTCTGTTCAACTCTGCAAATTTCTAACTTAAATTGTCACTATTTCATAGTCCATTTGCTTTAGAAACATTGTTTTAAGTTCTACACTTCCTGAGACCATTAAGCCCACAGAAGAATCAATGTGTCTATTTTTCCTATAATAGCCTTGCATCAGAAAATCTCATCAACCTTTCTTCCTACGGCCATTAAGTTTCATTATGTCTTCAACCTCAGGGACCTCTCCAACATTTTCCAGGTATTGTTTTTTTATTTCTGTGACACTCCTACCACCTCTCAGCCCAAATCCCTGTTTTCTCAGTACCCTCTGGCTCTCCTTCAATGGGAGCAGAAACATAATCTGTGGAAGAGAGGAACCTATATAGAAAGCAAGGCCTTTTATTCACCTAGGCTTGCTTTCTTTTCATCTTCATGGCACTCACTGAAGCAGTGTGGTGTAAGACTAATTATAATTTTTATTAATTTTAATATAGCTTACCTTTATATGGTAATTTAAGATTTACAAACCCTAATATACATTATCTCATTTGATCCTCACAACAACCCTGTGAAGAGGTATTATCATTATTCCCATTTTACAGATGAAACTGTGGTTCAAGAAGGTTACAGACCGTGCCCAATGTCAAATCACTAAGAAGTGCATAAGGCAGGATTCTAATGAAGGTCTTCCTGATTCCAGATCCAAAACTATCTCCATGATACTACATTGTCTTTCTTTCGGAAAGTAAATACGAGTCAGAAAGACTTAGATTCCAATCCCACCTCTGACACTTACTAGGTATCTGACACTGGAAGAGCCATTCTTTTCTCTGAACCTCAAGGAACAACCTAGAACTTATCCACTAAGTCAAAGATGGATTGGTGGAGGGTGTTCCCACACAAATCATTCCCTACCCTAAGGAAATCATACCTCTTTTCAATTGCATATTCAATATTCTCCTCATCTCTGATGAAATCTTTTTTCTTCAATAAAGTATTTTTTTTGCTATTCTGAAGTTGATAAACACTGGCAAATGTGAATAGTTCCCTATCAAAGAGTGGGAGACAAGGGGAATGTTAAGTCAACCTGTGAATCTCTGTCATGTCATTCTAAAGTATTCACTGCATTGAGCACATTAATTCCAAAGCTGTTTTGCTTGTCTGTGTTTCCTTTTGAACTTGCTTCTGTGCATTCTTTTAAACACTTCATTGATTTCCTTGTCTTTTTTGCATCACTATCATCTCCCCTGGGCAGCTAGATGGTGCAGTGGATCTCTATATTGGGCTTGGAATCAGGAAGATTCATCTTCATGAGTTCAAATCTGGCCTCAGACACTTACAAGCTGTGTGACCGTAGGCAAGTCACTTAACCCTTTTTGCTCATGTTCCTCATCTGAAAAACGAGCTGGAAAAAAGAAATGTAAAACCATGCCAGTATCTTTGCCAAGAAAACCCCAAAAATGGGGTCACAGAGAATCAGACATGCCTAAAATGACTGAACAACAACAATAAATCATCTCCTCTCCATCATCCTCTTCTACTTATTAAAAAAAAATCCTCCCCTATAACCAATAAGCATAGTTAAGCAAAACAAATGTATGTGTCAGCCATGTTCAAAAATGGATGTCTCGTTTTTCACCCCAGTCTACCACCTCTGTCAATAGATGGAAAGCATGTTTCATCATCATTCCTCTGGAAATGTGGTTGGTCACTATACTGATCAGAGTTCTTATGTCTTTCAACATTATTTTTCATTTCAGTTTTATAGTTATTATGTAATTGTTGTCCTGGCTCTGTTCACTTTTCTCTAAATCAGTTCCTATAAGTCCTTACATGTTTTTCCTTAATCCATCCCTTTTGTCATTCAGTAATATTCCAATATAACCACATGCCATAATTTATTCAGTCACTCCACAACTGATGGGCAACCTCTTAGTTTCCATTTTGCTGCAACAAAAAGTATTCCTATAAATATTTTTACATGATTCTATTCCCTCTTTATTTTAATTCTTCAGGAAATAAGCCTAGTGGTGCTATCACTACATCAAAAGCTAAACAATTTAGTGATTTGTGGGGTATCAAAATTGCTTTATAGAATGGAAAATTTGACAAATTCATAGCTCCATCAACAAACATCAACGTGTTCTCCCATATCTTCTCCAACAATTGCCATTTTTCCCTTTTTGTCTTTTTTGACAAGTTGATGAATGTGAGGCAAAATCTCAGTTATTTTAATTGGCTTAGTATTTTGGAGCATTTTTGCTTTTCTTCTTTTGAGGATATCCTGTCTTTTGTCTATTTATTTATCTATTGGGAAATGACTCATTTTCTTATATATTTGCATGGGTTCTCTGTATATCTTGAATATCACATCTTTATCAGAGAAACTAGCAAAGATTCGTTTTCTTTCAGTTAACTCCTTTCTAATTTTAGCTGCATTGGTTTTGTTTTTGCAAAAGTTTTCATTTCATAATCAAGATTGTACATTTTATCTCTCATGATGTCCTTAAACTCTTGTTTGGTCAAGAACTCTTCTCTTATCCATAGCTACAAAATGTATCTCCTTTGCTCTTCCTTTTGATGATATCTTTAACTCAGATTTGCAGGGAAAGTCTCCCAGATTTATCTATCAAGAGATATGATGTGATATAGTAGAGTAGAGGGGGAACCCTAGATTTGAGAGGCAGAAGCCCTGGGGATGAGTTACAACTCTGATACTTACTAGCCATGTGACTATGGGTAAGGCATTTGACTTCTTTTTAGTCTATGATGAAATGATTCTGATTCATTATTTGTGAGGGGAAGGAGCTAAGAATGTGTTGATATTGCGGGATACCTATGTATTCTTATTTGTAATTATGGTAAAAGATGTATGCTTTGGAATCTATTCCCTAGAATAGATGCCCATGTCAGGGCCATGAGCCATTGCCTAGAGATAAGTAGGTCACTGAATCCCAAGGTGAAAATTAAAGAAATGTCTGTGCTCCATATGATTGTTCACATAGCTTGGCCAGTAATGGAGAGCCAAGGAAATAATGAAGGTCCCCAGGTAAATTAATTCAGAACTTGAGAGCAGGATGATCTGGAGAAGCAGTCATACAGAGAAGAGGCCTTGACTCAGAAGTACTCAGTGCAGGATAGAACCAACATTAGTAGAAGAAATGACTAGACTATTAAGCACAGAATTGGCCTAAAGATCTGGCATATAGGGTTGGTTTTCAGCAGAAGCAAAGTGATAGGAGTTATAGGTTCCAGTGGAGCCAGAGCTTGGAGACTTCCTGAGGAAAAATGAAGTGACACAAATCCAAAACTTATGGGGTGGTAACTTTGGCACCAAGAGGGAAGAACTATTTCTTACGAGAAGTTGGGACTTGGGGTTTAGGGGAGACTTTGCCAGGGGCTTGAAGATGAAATATCCCAAGAGTGACAGTGAGAGGTAAATAACCTATTTAGGTCCTAGTCTCCTAGAGTAGTGTAGTCGAAAGTGCATTGGCTGTGGAGTCAGTAGACCAGAGGTCAAATCCTGTTTCTGACCTTGTTGCGCGGGTAAGTCTATTAACCTCTCAAGGCCTCATTTTTCCTCATCTGTAAAATTGGAGGGGTTTTTTTTGATGACATCTGAGGTCCCTTCCAATTCTAGATCTATGTGCTACTCCAGGTCACAGGCTGGAGGAACAAGCTCTAGAGGGCTAAAAATGACAGCCCTGCTTAGTAGAATCTATGACAGTAGAATGAGAACTGAATTAATATCAAGGCCAAGACCAGAAAGAAGACATTGAAACAAGAAAGAGTCTAAGAACAGTGGGTAAATATCCCATGGCTGGTCCTGAAGACCAGTATTTACTATTTTTAAAAAAATCTTTCTACATTGAGAAATGATTATATTTTTTCTACTTCTGTGTGTTGTATCAACCCTACTCCTGTGTCTTTTTTCTCTTGTATCAAATAAGGATGATATAATACTTGCACTATCTGCTCTCTATAATGTTCTCTCTATCACTATCTGGTCTCCATAATGTGCAAATGGGGTGTTGGCCGTAACACCACTATGTTGGTCAGGCAATAAACATGATCTTTTAAAAAAATTTTTTATTCTGAATACCCCCAAAAAGAGCATTTCCATACCCACAGCAGAACGATGACAAAAAAGAATTATATTCTATATGGGTTCAGATCCTGTCTCTAATATATAATGTCTGTGTGATCAGTGTAAAACATTTTCCCTCCCTGAGCTTCAGTTTCTTCATGTAAAATAAAGCATTTGAACTGGATAGCCTCTGAGGACTCTCCCAGCTTTAGACCTATGATCAATGAACTGCATATCTTAATTTGCTTCTCTTTCAAGGCCAAGAATCCCACAATGACTAGTTTGTTCTTGGCAGGGACTCTTGTTTTCTACAGCAGAAATCCTCAGAACCCCTGTTGATCTCATACGGTTATGGCTACATGAAGCTGAACGGGTATATGGGGATAAGCTCATTGATGATAAAGACAAAATCCTATTATATAAACTCACTGTAACTTCGACCAAGAAATACTTTGAGGTAAGTTATAGCACTGGCT